AATTTCGATTTTGAAAATAGCTACTCATTCTCATTAGAAACTTATTGCCATGACGACACTAGCCCTCTTTTTTTGGTTACCATTTTATTGAAAAATTGCTCTGTATTCAAAATCTGAACTAGATAGGAAGAAATAGATAAGAAATCCTAATATAGTATGAAAGGGCATGTTGTATTTGAAATAACGAAGTTTTTATGTAAAACTAGCGTGTACCAGCGACTTCGTTCGCGTCGAATTAATCATTTGTAATGGTGATGATAAAGCAAAGCAAGAATTTCCATTGACATACCAACTGGATAAAATTTTCTCACATTTATGTCAGCATGAGAAAAAAACAATATGGTGATATTATTATATAACTTGGTAATATTTGAGGGGTAGTTTCATCTCGTTGGAATTTGACTTTCGAAAAATCCGTTTTCCAAAAATAAGCTTTATGCGTCAAGCAGTTTAAGCCGAAACGTGGTTAAGAAATTACCTAACTTTTTGGAACACCCTGTATGATTTTTTAAAAAATTTCAAAATATGTAAAAAAAAACAAGTAAATTATGCTTGTCCAATCGTTTTCCCGAAAGACTAACCGTTTTAAATAAAAAATATTGTAATATTTGAGGGGCGTTTTCACCCTCTTGGAATTTGAGATTCGAGAAACCCCTCCTTATCGAACCTCTACACAGTCAATCCGTTTGCCAAAAATCAGCTTTAAACGTCAAGCAGTTTAAGCAGAATCGTGATTACTCAATGGTCATATTTTATGAAACACCCTGTATAAATTTATAAAAAATCTTAAGATATGTAAAACAACAAAATAAAATATACGTGTTTAAGAGTTTTTCCGAAAAACTCACCGGTTTTTAAATAAAAAATATTTTAATATTTGAGGGATAGTTTCACCCCCTTAGAATTCGAGTTTCGAAAAATCCCTTCTTGTCGAACCACTACACCCTAAAGTCAATCTGTTTTCCAAAAATCAGCTTTTTACGTCAAGCGCTTTAAGCAGGATCCTGATTAATCATTGACCAGATTTTTCGAAACGCCCTGTATACATTTTTAAAAAATCTTAAAATATGTAAAAAAACAAAATAAAATATACGTGTTTAAGCGTTTTTTTTTTCGGAAACTTGACCGTTTTTTAAATAAAAAATATTGTAATATTTGAAGAGTGGTTTCACCCTCTTGGAACTGGAATTTCGAAAAATCCCTTCTTATCGAACCACTACACCCTAAAGTCAATCTGTTTTCCAAAAATCAGCTTTTTACGTCAAGCGCTTTAAGCAGGATCGTGATTAATCATTGACCAGATTTTTCGAAACGCCCTGTATACATTTTTAAAAAATCTTAAAATATGTAAAAAAACAAAATAAAATATACGTGTTTAAGCGATTTTTTTTGGAAACTTGACCGTTTTTTAAATAAAAAATATTGTAATATTTGAGAGGTGGTTTCACCCTCTTGGAACTGGAATTTCGAAAAATCCCTTCTTATCGAACCTCTACACCCTAGAATCAACCTGTATGCCAAAATTGAGCTTCTTACGTTGAGTGGATTGAGCAGGATCGTGATTAATCAGTATGTCAGTCACTTAAGGGTTTTATATGTATATTAGTATAGATAAATATTTAAAATAGACTTGCATTTTTTGATACCCCTGTATACATTAAATGAATCAAACAAATTTTTCAGTAAATTTTATTTCTTTAGCTTAAAAGTCAGCACAAGAATTAATTCTGAAAAGCAATGTACAGGATGTTGACAATCTTTTTTATTATAACATGCATATTTAAATATCTTTAAATATCACAAATACCAAATCTTGTAAACATATTTAACCCTTATAATAAATACCTTATTTTATGTCCAAGGATCCAATTATGAAATAAGATACCGGGTGTTCCATAAGAAAAAATATAACTTTGGTGTGGATGTTAGTTCTGACAAACACTGTACAGGGTGGGTCAAATTCGACGCTTTTAAATGGAAACACCCTGTTCTATAGGAGATAGACGACAACTAATATCGGTGTCTGGAGCTCGATTTTCATCAAAAATATGATGGCGAAAACCGCATATCAATATCTGTTACCGTTTCGGAGTTACGGGGTGTTTTTCAAAAATGTGCATTTTTAACAAATCGCTGTAACTTTTTTGTTACGGAAAATTTTGTATTTCTATGAAAACATTTCCAAAGCACCTTTTTACGTAGAATTTAATGGTTTAAGTATAATTTTTTTAACATTAATAATTTAAGAGTTATCAACAGAAAAATTGATTTTTTATTTGGGACACCCTCTATATTTTTAATTAACTGAAAAGAATTTAAAATTACCTTTCCAAAAATATAGCACACTTGATATTTTGTTATAATCCCCTTCGAAATACAGAGTTTTTAAAAGTTTGCCACTTTTAATTAGTAGGCTTTGGACCCCTTATTGATGATATGCCCTTAATGGAACTCGAAAACATATTTTTCCAGCAAGACGACGCACCGCCTCTGAACGCTGAAGTTATTAGCAAATTTTTGCAGCCAATTTCAAGAATAATTGGATAGCTAGCCAAGATCCCAGCCGTTGGCCGTCGAGGCCGCCTAACTTAGAGCCCATGGATCTAATCCTATGGATATATTTGCGAATAAAGGTTCCTTATTCTTCCGTATAATCTAGACAAGTATTAAAAATACTTAGCAGTTATGAAAGGGTATCTTTCACCCCCACTGAGTTAATGAATTCCGCGAGAAATGTTCAAAAACTGCTCCGTCTGTCCATAACAGATATAAGGTTAATATGTCGAACACCTGTAGCAAAATCTCATGTCTTGGTTTGCTATTTATTTTGATTGTTATTAGATATAGTTTAAATGTGTTGATGTTGGTTAAATATATTTTAAATTATTATAAAATTCTGCATCTCTCATAGCAAATATTATTTTCGTTTTAATTGATGCTCACAGCTAGATTTTTTTAAAAAATTACAGCCGGTGCCGTTCAAAGCCTACTTATTTAAAGCGGGCGAATTGTTATATACTCTATATCTAGAAGAGGAATCGAGCAAAATATCAAGTGTGTTATATTTTTGGAAAGGTAATTTTAAATCCTTTTCAATAAATTAAAAATATACAGGGTGTCCCATATAAAAAATCAAATTTTCTGTTGATAATTCTTAAATTATTAATTTTAAAAAAATTATACTTAAACCATTAAATTCTACGTAAAAAGGTGCTTTGGAAATGTTTTCATATAATACAAAATTTTCCATAGCAAAAAAGTTACAGTGGTTTGTTAAAAATGTATATTTTTGAAAAACACCCCGTAACTCCGAAACGGTAACAGATATCGATATGCGGTTTTCACCATCATGTTTTTGACAAAAATTGAGCTCCAGACACCGATATTAGTTTTTGTCTATCTCCTATAGAAAAGGGTATTTCCATTTAAAAGCGTCGAATTTGACCCACCCTGTACATTTCAAAATAATTTTAAAATATGAACAATGCCTTTTCACATATACTCATAAAATATTTTGTTTTTTGGGCACCCCACTCCTTTATTTTTTAACTTTTTGAAAATGTTTTTAAGTAAGATATGCTATGCTCCCTGGTTTGTGCTATATATTTTTAAAGTCACTTTGATCAAACTAGAAAATAATTAGTACTGCCCTATAAAGGGTTAAAATACCTAACAACAGTTTATAGTATAGTAAATTTTTTATTATTATCTCACCATATTAAACAAAAAAAAAATAGAAAAATATACTAAAATAGCATAGGCTACTCAAATAATTTAGTTCTACAGGGTGTTTCAAAACAAATGCGAAAAACTTTAGGGGGTGATTTCTTGTTCAAAATAAAGGGTAGTTTGCTTTATAAACGTTGGGTCAAAAGTCAACCATTAGGGAGATATCGCGGTACAAAGATGGCGGAAAAATAATGTTTTTATTTTTTATCTTGAAAACGAAAAGAGATAGACTAATGAAATTTTATGGAAGCATTACTGTTATGAAAACACACTTTCAGGTAATTTTTTTACTTTTTTAAAATGAGTGGAAGGGGTTGAAATAAACTACCCCTATCATTCTTGTTAACGAAATTTAAAGAAAAATCTTATCAACACATGCAAATGCTTTAATTTGGATAGTTTAGTTTGTTTAGAAGCTTTTTTACCTCTTGTGTTTTTTTGATAAAACTCACCGATTGGAAATTAAAAAATAAAATGTAAAGCATTACATGTCAGGACAAAAAACATTGTTAGATTAAGAATCTAGTGATAATAACGATAATAATAATCATCTAGATAATAACGTATTGCAGTAGAGTAATGTCAAATAAAATAATATTAGGAACATCCTAAAAGTAACAGCGGCCGACTAGAGTTTTTCCTAAAAAATTACAGCAGCCCACTAGATTCTTTTATCAGAAAATGTTTTTTGTCCTGACATGTAATGCTTTACATTTTATTTTTAATTTCAGATCGGTGAGTTTTATCAAAAAATACAAGAGATAAAAAGTTTCTAAACAAACTAAACTATCCAAATTAATTTTTTTGCATGTGTTTGATAAGATTTTTCTTTAAATTTCGTTAACAAGAATGATAGGGGTAGTTTATTTCAACCCCTTCCACTCATTTTAAAAAAGTGACAAAATTACCAGAAAGGGTGTTTTCATAACAGTAATGCTTCCATAAAATTTTATTAGTCTATCTCTTTTCGTTTTCAAGATAAAAAATATAAACATTATTATTTTTCCGCCATCTTTGTACCGCAATATCTCCCTAATGGTTGACTTTTGACCCGACGTTTATGTAGCAAACTACCCTTTATTTTGAACAAGGAATCACCCCCTGAAGTTTTTCGCATTTGTTTTGAAACACCCTGTATAACCAAATAACAGTGTTTTTAACTAAAACATTTTTAAAAACATTAATTTGCTGAACTACAGAAACCTAATTAAGTGAAATTTGTTTAGCCGGCATTTTATTTCCATTTTCATTGTTGTATTTTTCATGAACTTGCTAATTTTTTTTTATTCCAAATAGTACTATAATGTGTAGTAAAATAGATCTGATTTTTTATAAAATTGATTTTACATTGAAAATATTTAAGACGTTTGACTGTAACAATGTTTTTCAGTGCGGTATTATATTATATTATTACACTCCAGCTTGTTTTTGTGTTAACAGATGTAAATAAGGATTTTCCACAAAAGCATATCCACAAAAATCTCAAAATGTTAAAAAAAGACTTCAATAAAATTTTAGAAGATGTTGAAGATTTTGCCACAGATTTCTTTTTTCAAGTTCGAGATATTGAAAAATACACACAAGGTAAGAACTAATTTTAAAAATATTTTTATACAGGGTCCGAAAATAGTGCGGCGGGCATCTGTAGCTCCTAGAATAAAAAAAACTTGAGAATCTTGTTCCTAGAAACTTGAGAAAGTGCAGACCTAAAGTATACACGAGATACATCCTCGGAAAATATTCTTCCTAACTTCTACAGAGTGTCTCAAAAAGTGCGAGTGGATTGGGATGATTTTTTTTTAATGGAACACCCTGTATGTTATTGCATTTTTGGCTTCCTTTCAGATCACTTTAGATAATACCATTGTTTATATATTCTTAAAGTTGCCCAACCGACTAGACAAACTTTGCTGCCAACTGGAGGACAAATCGTGAACATTTCGGGGCGGAGTCAAAAATATCGATTATTTTCGTTATTTTCCTCAGAGTAATGTAATAATATAGCCCAGGGTTTCTGCGAACTTTAATAGTGATCAGCTGATTAAGAAATTTAAACGAAACTTTTATTTTATTGTAAATTCTGGATTATTTTTGCCTGTTATTTTAAGAATTCCAGACCGTATTAACAAAGAAATTATTATTTCGATATGTTGGTACATTATTTATAATTTATGATAATGCTAATTGCTGTTAATTAATATTTAAAAAAAAGTTACATACCTATTTTAATTTGATTTAATGCAGGTTTATAAAAGAATCATTTCTTAGATTATTTTATTCTAAATTGAGTGCTTTACAGATTTTATGATATTTTTTTGAAAACATGAAACTTTTACATTTTGATGCCAACTAATTGGCATGGTATTATTGGTATGGAAATTAGCCAAGAAAGAAAAGAATTGGCTATAACTTGTAATTTTTCGAAAAAAACATATTATACCTATATCGCTGAAAAGCTTAAAAAATGGCGCTTTTTATGAAGTCATGGCCAACTATGGTTTCCATTTAAAAAAACATAATGTTTGTGTCATATGTCAAAAATGACAGGCTTTAGGAAAAAAAACAAACTCATTATTAGGTATGTGATTATCTACAACTTTTATCTGAAAACTTTTTGTCTAAAATACCGTATGATCGAATAAAAATGGCGTCAGCGATGGCTATGAAATGACGATCGATGATATTTCCCATATAATTTTACATATAAAATGACAGCGATCTTCATTTCGTAGCCATCGTTGACGCCGTTTTTATTCGATCGTACGGTAGATTATAATGGAGATTATATGTATATTAGAGACAAGTTTTAAAATAGCCAAAATTTGTTTTTTTTTAAATATCTAGTAAGCCTTGAACTTCTCCGAAAAATCCGAAAGGCGCATATTTATGACCCCACAAAACTGCAATTGTTCTTTCCTCATTTAACCGACTCTCTATCTCCAGTAGTTTCCGAGATACCCATAGAGAACATCGATCGTAGAAAACTCACCCTGTATAGTATTTAGGAACTAATAGAAACTAACTGTTATTATTATTTGACTAGATTAATTTGATTAATAAGACTCGATTAATTTAATTTAAAATAAATTTGATCAGATTTTTTTTTCGTATATTCTACTACCAGAAAACCAAAATTATATGACAACGCACTTTTCAACGAAGTTGAAGGAAGATATAGTGTATCTATCACAATACTTAATAGAATTATTACAATTAGAAGAAAAATAAAAAGAAAAAATACCCAAATACCTCATCTACAAAATAAACTAATATAATCTCTTATAAAAACACTACACAATTACTTCTTGTATTCTACACTGAAAAAATTATTATCAAACTTACTAATTAATCAAACAAAAAGAAAAAATAACCAAATTATCCCTTCACCTAATACTTAACTACAAAATAATAAACTATAAAAACACTACTAAACTATTTCTGGTATTCTACACTAAACATTAAATTAAACTTAATAAGATTAATCTAATTTTACACTACAACCACTACAACTACAAAGAAATAAGAACATTTTTTAAAACTAGAAGAAACAGAACCTCGATACGTGCAACCAGTATAATAGATCAAGGGGACAAAGAATATAAAATACTTTAAAAATGTGCATCAGAAAGAAAAAATATCTTAAAGTATAAACAAAACATTTTTTTTTATCGTTGAAATCATCTGGCCTCGTCGGCCTTGCAGAGTAACTGGGTATTTACAATGAATCAGTGTATAATTACCAGCTTTTATAATATCTAATAGATAAAAAAATATCAGTCGATTAGTAACCAATTGGCACAGTCCGAAAATTATCGATTTTTATTTTCTCTGTTTTTATTGGTCGCTTCAAAATTCAGAGTAACAAAAAATATTTTTCTGTAGTAAGACTGTGAAATACGCCCCGCCATCTGGTGCTTTACATCCATAAACGTCTTAGGTTGAGCTACTTTAAAAATTCATATACAAGGATAATACTAAGATATGAGTAAATATATTTTGATAGTTTCAGAGGTATTAATAAATAAATAAAAAAGATATATGTTTCAGCCTTTCTTAAAAAAAATATTAAAAATACAAGAACTGTCCTGAAATCAAAACTATAATAAAATATTTACTTTAGATGGTCTATATCTACTTACTTTGCTATAAATATCGTAATCTTAAATCATACAGAGTGTTCAAATTCTACGCCAAACTTTCCAAAATATAAAATAAATTTTCTTTTCTTTTTTAAATGGAACACTCTGTATATTATATTTTCATTAGATGGAGAGTTAAAAAATTAACATTTTTTGTATTGAAAGTATTTTAAAATTTTTAATGGTTTCGCAGATATACGCAGTATTATTTCATGTGGCTCTTTCAAAGGTAAAATATGAGACAAAAATCAGTGGCTTTGATAAAAATTTACAGTGGAAAATGCCATATGAAATATAAAACCGCGAATATCTGCGAAACCGTAACAAATTTTGAAATAATTTAAATTCAAAAAATGTATTCATTTTTTAATTCTCCATCTACTGAAAAAATAATATATAGGGTGTTCCATTTAAAAAAAAAACAAAGAAAAATTATTTTATATTTTGGAAAGTTTACCGTCGAATTTTGAACATCCTGTATGATTTCATTTATTTGCTATAAATATGATAATTGTACCATATTTATAGCAAAGTAAGTAGAGACCATCTAATGTAAATACCTCATATAGTTTTGATTTTAGAACAGCTCTTGTATTTTTAATTTTTTTTGAGAGAGGCTGAATAATATATATTTTTTTGGATCTGCACATCCCTCAAACTATCGAAATATATTTATTCATATCTTAGGATTAAGTAATGTGATCTGAAAGGATGCCAAAAATACAATAATATACAGGGTGTTCCGATTAAAAATATATATCCCGATCCACTAACCCTTTTTTGAGCCACCCTATAGAAGCTAAAATATTTTTCTGAAATACTATCCTAGTACATAATTTAGATTTCCACTTAAAAAAATTCCCAGGTTTTTTATTCTAGGAGCTACAGATGCCCGACGCAGCATTGCCGAACCCTGTAGATATACAAGGCAAGTTCAGTGTATTTTCAGGTTAAAGTTGTAGTTTTGAATATAGAATGCTGTATTTTTTCTTAAGTGTATTTGCGATTTATTTTTTTTATAAATAGCATAGTCAATACTATATGGGATTTTTGAAAACAATAATTTTCAAACTAAATTTCTCTCTTACATCTTACATCTCTCAAAATTACTTGATTAATTGAAGGCTATTGATGTTTTTTAATAGGATGTTTTTATAATAACGTAAAAAACTGAAAATTACTCAATAAGTTACTCAATAATAAGATATAAGGATAAGTTCGATAATAAGATCAATATTAGGTATAGAAAGTGATTAAGAAATCAATGTTTCAAAAAGTAGTTGATTTTAATTTCTATTTGAAACAGCATAGAATCGTAGAAAAATACGATATAGGTACAATAATTTTAACTAACTTTGTATAATATACCTAGTAATACAGGGTGTTCCAGTATTGCGTGAACATAGAACTGCTACTTATTTTTGGAATCAAAATAAGTTCATTGGATACAATAATTGAGGAACAGACTTTCTAGATGCATTTTGTCTATTTTTTCGAATTTTGACCAACAAAGAAAAACTGCCACGCTTTTTGCAAGAAACTTACCGAAAAACTAGTATACCTGAAAAATGGATAAAAAATCATAGAAATAGTATACCTACACGTGAAAAATCTAGTTTTGATGATATCTGAAAAAGTTGAAAAAACTGTTGAGTATCCTTTAGACCAGGGTTTCTTAAAGTGGGGTCCACGGACACTTTAGGGGTCCATAGCTTCTGTATCAGGGGTCCGCGGTCCGCATTACGCCAGTTAACTGTAAACATATTTATTAACGTTTTCTTTTTATGTATATAAGGCTTTTTTTATTTTCATCTATTATTTCTGATAGGGGTCCGTGGAATTGTACAAACTGCGAAAGCGGTCCGTGACTGCAAAAAGTTTAAGAAACCCTGCTTTAGACGTAAAATTTCTCTTTATTTTTCTGTTATCATGGTCCGTATCCCCAACTACATGGTCCTCAGTCGTAGTTCTATTCATTATTTTAAGTAGTATTATTCAAACAACAGAAAAGTTGTAGTACAATAAAACTCTACATCTGGCAATCACAAACAACAGCAGTATAGCCACAGCACACAAGGACATACATCTGTTTGTTTGTCTATCGCCAATAGACATACAGCACATAGAAAGTCTAAGGTATTTTCCGCCATTTAATTCGAATGGGATAAAATGTATTTAACACGTCGCCGCCGTTTCTGGCATCATATTGTAACTCTTTGTATGTAGTTTGCAATGCCACCTTTGGTAGAAAATCTTAAAAATAAAAAGTTCTTCGATTGTCCATTTTTTAAGATATTTTAAGAACCGTTATTCCGATTTGAATAAGATATAGGGTGCCTATATTTTGCTAAGCGTTTTAGCATTTGACTTTTACAAAAAAAAAACAAGAAAAAGTACGGGAAGGGTGAAAACCCCACCTTTGCCTAAATTTTAGTAGAAATATCCTGTATTTCCAAGTTTAGTTTTTTTCCTTAATTCAAAAATGAAATATACAATAATTAGTAATTTCCACCATATCTTCATAATTACTAAAGTTTCTTCGTTTATTACAGGCTTAGCTAATAAAGACTATGACTGGAATGACGACACGACTTCTAGCACAAAAGTAAGTAAACTATAAAATTCCCTTTTTTTAAATTTTAATAATTCTATAAATAGCCAGTGTTCGAACATACTCTTACACCTCCGGAAACAACGCTGGACGACAGTAAACTGTCTTTGCCTCGGAAAAAACGATCTGTTCCTACAATTTCTGAGCCTGAGCAAAAGTTTCAATCTATGAAAAATGCGTTTAAATCTGCTACTCCTAATACTAAATTGGCTGGCCTTAAACAACCAGAAAATGGGTATGAAGAATTTATCCAAAAGAAGAAATCCATTGAGCAAGGTATATATTATGATTTAAAATATGATTTAGAACGACAAAAAATTGGTTGAAATAATTACCGGTATTACTCTATTACTCTATCGGGTGGTACATCGTCGTTGAAAACAGGAAATCTAATGCAAAATTTTGAACTGTCCAGATATTGGTTCGCCTGTCGATTTTACAGCGAATTCGTAAATAGGTTTTTTAAAGATCTGCGTATGCTGAATACATGTGCCAAATTTGAACAATTTTGGACAAGCCGATTTTAAGTAATTTCAGAAAAACTGCATCTATTTTTAAATTAAAACTCAACAAAGGTAACAACGCAAAACCAGACAAATTTAAGCCTAACGTTTAAGCTTGATTTTCATGCATCCGTTAAGCTTGATCTTCATGCATCTGTTATCCGACGATATGATGATACGATATTAATTTTATTGGTTGAATTTAAAGACTTTGATTGGTTAAAAACTTAAAGACTTTGATTGGTTTTTAGGTGGGATAACGGATGCATGAAAATCAAGCTTTATCCGTTGATACAATGGTCCGACGGCGCTCTGATTGGTCATAGCATTTTCGCGCCACTTTTCATCCGTAAATTTTTTACTCCAGCCCGTCAACGGAGAAAGATCGTACGATAACGGATGTTTTGACAAATTTAATTTAAACTTAATAAAAATATAATAGTATTGAGCTAGCAACGTCGGAAAAACGAGAATTTTAAGAAATCTGCTTCTTTAATATATCTTTTGCTATGCTTTCCTTTGCTCTCCTGGCCAAAGTGCGGGCCGCCTGGCTGCCGGTATCTGTACAGGGTATCCCATTTTCGTGTGTTTTATGGGATTTCTCGGTTATGAGTAGAGATACAATGATGCGATTTTGACATTACTTTGCTACTTTTTTATGAAACCAAATATGCTATAGCTAAATAGCTAAATATACACATAGGTTTATTCTAGCCTCCTTATTTCCTGAAATACAGGGCGAATTGGTGATGCGCAGTAGTGAACAGATGTTGAATACAGATATGATACGCAGTAATGAACGCAACATCTACAGGCAGCCAGACGGTCCGCACTCTCTTCAGGAGATCATAACAAAAGATATATTAAAGAACTAGCTTTCATAAAATTCTCTCTCGAAAACGTTGCTCTTAGACTATAAGTAAAACAGCGAAATCGTTATGGAAATGAAAATATAAAATGGCACCAATCACAAGAAAATCGTACATTCGATGAACGGAGGCATGAAAATGCAATAAATTTAAAAAACTGTGTAATTTTCTAACCAAGTCTTTAAATTCAACCAATGAAATTAATATCGTATCACCGTATCGTCGGATAAAGGATGCATGAAAATCAAGCTTAAGTCATAATTGTCTAATAAACAAATAAAAATAAAAAAATAATAGCTATTTTTTAAAACCAATTAATCTGTACAGTTGTACAAATACAGGAAGAGACTTGGGAATAGCACCGGAAGAGACTTGGGGATAGCACCACAGAGATACAAAGATGTGGTTTCCAAATCACTATGCTATTTTTTATGAAACGAAAGATTCTACAGATTAGTCCTAGCTCCAGGGATGGATGGGGAAGTGGAAATCGGCCCGGGAATAACAGGCAACCGACCCGAATCCACAAAAACAAAATGACCATAACGAAGAAACATATTTTATTTATTAACATACAGGGTGTCCCAGAAATAAGTGCAAGTATTTTAACTGGTAGTATATTTCGGCCTCAGAAACACACCTATCAATTTTTTTTGCGAAAATTAGGAATTTTTTAAAGAAATGTTTGGAATTTTTTTAGTTTTAAGTTAAGAAAACATATTTTCTTGATAATCTGACAACTGACAATAGGTAGTAGATTAAATTTACATGATAGAAAATACAGAAAAGATCCAGTGGTTCTCAAAATTTAAGCAAAAAAGCATTTTTTGTTTAAATTTTCAAAGTAAAATACCTCGGTTATTTTGGGCTTACTTGAAAAACGGTAAAGAGAAAAAATGTTTCTTTTGACCAAATCTTCCCCCCTTAAAATACTTGCACTTATTTCTGGGACACCCTAGGTAAGGGTCAAATCACCCTAAGTAAGGGTGATTTTCGCTCGGGCGAAAAAAACTCTTTTGCCTCCGATTTTTTAAAAATATTGAAATTGTCTTGATCCAAATTTGTATAAAGATCAATATCGGGTCGGACCTGAATTCTTACTAGAAAATAGCTCAGGGTCACAGGGTTCTACAGTTTTATTTCCATTATCGATACCATTTGATCTTGAATATGCTACGAGTTTGAATTACGGTTTTGAGAAACTTTAAGACTTCCTGATTCATTCAGTTCAGCAGCTGGCCCAATCCTCTGTGAAATACATTATTTTTAGATTTTCAGGTATATACTTTCTTACAGATTGTAGAAAGAAAGTCTCTCTTTTCTGGTACAGCAGCTGCCTCGTCATGTATACGTGTCTTAATTTTCGTATAATTCTCATCACGTAACTTTTCCTAGTTTCTACATTTGGCATCTTGTATGATAATGCCATGACTCAAACGAAAAAAACCTAGGCAATACCTAAGCAGTGGATATAAATGTGTTTTAATAAAAGAATATTGGTAAAACTATACAGAATGAGTCATATTTCGCAATATATTTTCAGGGGTGGTATATTATGTCACCACCAGGTGCCAGGACACGTCTGTGAGTTTTTTTTGTATAAAAAAGATGTTGAAAATCGTGCTTTTTCTTTTAAATTTTCCTGTATAGTTTAGAAAATTTTTTAGAACTTCCTGTTCACTGCAAATTTTCCCACGGTATAGTTTCTTAATCTTTGATATTACGGCACAAAAAGAGATGCAAATACAGAAAGATTGGCGGCAATTTTTTTTTTAAAAAATCATTTTTTTTTAAATGCAAACTTTAATAACTCGGTTATTTTGGACTTATTTGAAACACGGTAAAGAGAATATAGTATGCTTCTTTTATTCATATCTACCAGCCCTGAAAATATTTGCACAAAGCAAACAAAAAAACATATCAAATGGAACAACAAACAAAATTATTAGATTTTTATTAAAATTATAAGTGTCTCAGAGGAAAACATTTAACAATAGTTAATTTAAAAACTGGTGTTTATGTTTAAAAGCAACTAACCATTATATTGATGCAAACTGATTAGTTAGTTAGGCAGTCACTAGAATCTTACGTAATTTTAGTTAGAAGATTAACCATTTAATTTTTGCTAAATCAATCTTTTTTTGAGTTCTGATCGGGACCGGCCCATCTTTCCACCGGCCCACCGGGAATTTTCCCGTTTTCCCATACGGCCCATCCAACCCTGCCTAGCTCCCATCGTGCTTTAACTGCACTCAAACGTAATAAATAGTTTAACTTTATACGTTACATTTAGATTTATTTTTTCTTTTAGTCCAAAAATTCGATGATAGTATTTTGGGTCAAACTATAGACAAAACAACTGAATCTACTTTTAAAACAGATAAAAGTGTTGAAGATACTGTTTGTCCAACAAATAAACTCGAAAAACAAAAGCTAGATGAGTTAAAAACTGAAATGAAGAAACTAAATGAATTAGTGTCTCTTCTAAAAGACCAACAGGATTTTTTTCGAGGAATGAACATATTAAATGAAAAGTCTGATAATGATGGAAATTCAAAAATTCTTATTAAAAAAGTTATAAATGAATTAGCGCGTAAGTTAATTGCATTTTTTTAATTAAATCCTGCCAGGAAATACTTAAAAGTTGATTTTAGAGAAAGAAAATGATCAAATGAAAGACGACAAAAGTAGTGAGCTGGGTAAGATTCAACTGAGTTTGAATAATGTATACCAAAAATTGAATAAAACAAGATTAATGTTGGATCACGAACATGAACAACAAAACGTTATTGAAAATGAATTAAAAAAACAAATTAATGAAGTAATAGGAATTCAAAAAATGGTAAACCATTTATACAATAGGAACGTGCAAGATTGGGAACTAAAACAAAGTAGCAATCAAGAAAAAGTAGAAGGTATGTAGGCACACGCAGTACATTTTAAAGTTCAAATAGATTTTTACCAATACAATTTAATATGAAACTAGCTACCGTTTCGTCTACCCGGGCTCGGTCAACAAAGCCGGCTAGACGATCCGCTGAGAGTAGGTTTTAACGGAGCAGAAGTACGGAGATACCTCCGGCTGCTCCACGAAGGATTTGCTCCAGAGGAAACAAAAGCAAAAACAAGAAAGAAGAAAACAAACAACACCTCGAAAAAGGGGAGAGCAAAGAAACAGCCTGGCCCATCTCCACCAAAGGCAAGAGAGCGAGCGAGAACCTCTCACCTCAAAAAACAGCATGGAAAGCCGTCCAACACCGAGAGGCAAGAAGGGTATCACCGCGTTTACTATTACAACTATTTTCACTTGTCCAGCAAGTGAAAATAGCAGTGCTGCCAAAGGATTACCCAAAGGTTGTACGGACCACCGACCAGCAAACGGCTCTAGAAGGGGCATACTGAATAGGTACTGAACGAAATAGTAGCGAGCGGATTGCAAAGCAACCGTTCACAATATGTGGGTCAGCTGCTTTTCGCGGGAATATGTTTTCAGGTGGACATGCTCCTTATAGATTGTGTATCTCAAGAATCGGCGGATTGGTTGGTGGAAACGGCACGTAAGCTTAAGAATTGGCAATAGCCGGGGCTAGGTGCAGTGAAGGCAGAAACGATCTTAAAGGGAGCGACCATCACGGTCTTTCTGCCGAGGAGCAAAGGGAAAGACACCACCTACCTGTTGAGCTTTTATCCAGGCTCAGAACTCCAATGTAAGGACATCGAGTTGGCGCGTCATCTACTCGAGGGAGGTGGGTCATTGTCAAGTCCTCAGAATAGAAAATTGACCTCAAATCCAAGGAGGCAATAGAGAAAGAGAGATATATACTCTATTAGGTATAGATTCGGGATAACACCGGTATCCAGTCTAAGGAGAGACCAAGTTAAAGAGGTGGAGAAAATGAAAACAGATCTTCATGCTTTCCTCACGGGTACCTCAGCCGGAGACAAGCTCCTCAACTGTGAAGGACACGGAGGGCCAAACCCTAACCGTGGGAGGGTATATACCCTCGGAGGAAGAACATCTGTTGTCAGATGAGGATGGGAAATACCCTGTCGCCCCTACAACAGGAAAATCCTCAAGTATGATGGGTTATAGACTGTGTGATGAGTTATAACTCAACAAAGGGGGCACAATAAATCTTTAAGGTTGCAATGATTAACCCCCCTCTCACTCATTCTACGTTATAAGTCCGGTAAATTAACTTTTACAGTATGAGTAAGATGTTTGTGGACAAGGCGACCGACATAGGAACCATGTCGGCTTCTTCGCAGTCATTGGCAGTCACTTAACAGTAACATAATATCTTGGCAGTACATGTACATTTTTTACACAAGTTTTATCCCTCGATAATTTCCTATAATTTTTGTTGCCAGTTGAAAATTAGCGTTTTTTGGTTGTCTCCGCAAATACCTACTTTTTGTACTCCAAAACTATTAATTTATTATAAGTCTAGTATGAGTTTTTTTTAGTTGTAACTTGAATGACATATAAACAGTAATTTCAATAATGACACCTCCTCCTCCGATAATAAAAAATCAAATTAATATTATATTTAATTTTTTTTGAGGGAAAAAATCCATCATAGGTACTTGAACGTAAGACAACCCAAGTTTGTCAGACTCTTACTGATGCGTCTCTTTCTGGAACCGCGGTAGCACTACTTCAGAAGGGGGGGGGGTTCTATGTAGATGGTCTATTTAGCTGGTTTGGATCTATTGGATCATACGTTCTTTCTCTTTTTTCCATAAGGATATCTTTAGCCATTTTGCTTATTTCCTTCCAAAATATTTCGTTCTTCAGCGTGGTGTCAAACCGTAGGTTACCTGGTGTTTGTAATTTTAAACTTCCACAGCATGTTTAATAAAGCTCTATCTTGCGCAATGGAAGGAAAATGTGTGTTCGACATTATCAACAAGTTCGCAGAAACGACAAGTATTATATCTGTATCCCTAAGGTGGGAGCGTTTAAAATAGACTTCAAAGTATCCATATAAATCCGGTAATTCTTGTATTAGGTAGAAGTCAACTGATTTCTGAAGACCCAGGGCTCTATGTTGCATCTAAGACGTCTTGTCCAGCTTGCTGCGGCTTCTTCATTAGACCACTCTTCTTGCCATGTCTTCATCATGTTTGGTTGTGAAAGAGAAGAAATCAGAAGTAACCCAAAATGTTCCTCCAAAAGGTTTATTTTGAGTACAAGATGACTAGACTATATGATTAAATATACAATTTAGCAGCGTTTTTGTCATCATTAATGATTATAGGTTAATAATAAATATAAACATATAATTACAAGCACGTATTAAAATCAAATGTGTTTTATTCTTGCTTTAAACAAAATGTAAATTTTTAGATTCTCTTCTGGGTTCAGTTCAGAAACCATTGCCTCCTTTTTTCAACTCACATACGGATTTGTTACATGATCAAAACTATCATAAAATAGATATTTTTGGAAATTTGGATAATAAACAAAAAGTAAGTATGGTATGGATAAGTTCATGTTGACTCAAAGCAAATTTTAAACCACATTATATTTAAAATTTTAGGTAAACAAAAATGTACTTGGAGACGAGAATGACTCTACAGAATACAAGAAAAGCAAAGAATCGATACCTGCATCGGATATCAAAAACAGACAAGTAAAAGATTTGGAAAATATTCTCTCTGAAGAGAAAGTATCTTCGAAAGCCAGTGCAATTGATAACATTGACGATTTAAGAACAAAACTAAAACTTATAGAGATGTTAAATAAAGAAGGTAAATATGGAAATGTAGAAAATTTATTCAGATTATAATACGTATTAAATTTTCGCAGATAAAAATACCGAATTGGACAACACGAATGATAAAGTAAACGAAGCAATAAAAAAAATACTATTTCCTGAAAAAAAACCACCTGAAAAATTGGATGTCGATCTATTATTGGCTTTAGCACAGTTGAAGAGAAAAGAAAATGAAAAACCTCAGGTTTGTATAATGTTTTAATTTTTACTGAATTGGTTTTATTTTTATAATTAGTACGGCTACTGCCATTACTCGCTGTCGAGTATTTGACACGCATCAGAAGATAATTACGCAAGGCGTTTTCTTTCATGAGCTTTTATGTGAGTTGTCCACCTGGTTTCCGCTTACAAGCTCTCTGCAAAGGTCATCGTAAAGAAAAGATATCGGTAGGCGGTTTTCTTGCATCCTGCGTACGTGACCAGCCCATCTTAAGCGGAATTTAGTGATCATGACTTCAGCGCTCTCGCAGCTAGCTTTTTTAAGGACCGATATGTTTGAGACATGGTGGAACCATTTGATTCTTAAGAGTTGTCCAAGGTGTCTCTGTTGCAACTTGTTTAATACGTTCATGTGTCGGCGGTACGGCACCCATGTTTCGCTTCCATATAACATGGTGGGGATTATTATTGCTCGGTACACTGCAAGTTTCGTTTTTGTGTTCAAATCATCATTGTAAAAAATCCTGTCTTTTAATTTCCAGAATGCTCTTGAGGCGCTGCTAGTCCTGTGCTGAATTTCAGATTCGATATTGACCTTTTCCGAAATCAAACTGGCGAGGTAATGGAATTTTGCTACATATTCCAATAGTTCTTCTCTGATTTTTATAGCATTGTTGCGATCTTCCGGGGGAGTGAAGTTTATTAGATAAAATACGAACGGACAAACGTACGTACTCAACAATAACTTGCCTGGCTCTTTCCTCTTTTTACATGATTTGCCTGCTCTTTTTCCTTGATAGTATAACTTTGACGATATACAGAGTGTTCCAGGCTCAGCGTGCATTAGAAGTTCCTAGACAACTACAATATCTAGATCGGAGATTTTTTGCACATCATTGTTTCACAATGAGGTATGCTATTTTGATATGTGATATTTAAATTATCTATAAATGTTTATGAATTTTTATATCAAACACTCTATACCTAACATTAACCGTTTTTGAGAACAAAATATTTAAAAAAAAATATTTGGAATAAAATAAATTGTATAGCCCAAACGTCAAATTTAGTTACCACAACCGCTGTGACATGAAGAAAAGACATGCGACTGTCTATTTCAAAAATTAAATTGTATGAATGTCATATAATATTGACCGTAGCTGTCATGGAATCGAGAGATTAAAAAATTATCATAAATATTTTTTTTCAAATGAAAACCCACTTTATTTCACTAGTGAAAAGCTTTTTTAATTGGTTACTTTTTGATTATACATGTTCCTATACCTAAAAAGAAATAGTTTTTAAGTTATTTAAGATTTAGTTTTAAAGCGTATATTTTTCTGGTTTTTAACCAGTAGCCTATGACTTTAAAAAAACGTCAAGCGATGTAAAACTACATATACCGTATGATCGAGAAAAAACTGCGTCAGCGATGGCTATGAAATGAAGAGCGCCGTCATCTTATATGTATATTTATATGGGAAATGTCATCGATCGTCATTTCCCAACCAACTGGACGCCGTTTTTTTTTCGATCATACGGTATATTGCCATTAGATATCACTAAAATACGAGATATACTTTTATAAATACAATTTATAAAGTTTTAGCAGCAGGATTTATAATATACGAAATCCAAATCATTAGTTTTTTGACAGAAGAAAATAAACTGTCTGATGGTTTGACACTTAATGTCAAAGGAAACTAGATAAAATCAAGAAAAAATTACGCTTTAAAAGTAAATGTTAAATAACTTATATAATCAAACAATATGGAACATGTATAATCAAAAATGAACGAATTGAAAAACATTTTCACAAGTGAAATAAAAAAGTGGGTTTCCCTTTGAAAAGAAAAAGATTTATGATAATTTTTTAATCTCTCAGTTCCCTGACAGCTACCGTCATTATTATATGACATTCGAACATTTCAATTTTTGAAATAGAATAGCCACATGTCTGCTCTTTATATCAGAATAGCTGCGGTAATCACTAAAATTGACGTTTAGGTTATACAAATTTTTTTGACGGGCAGTTTTTTTCCTCCAAAAATTTTAAATATTTTTTTTTCTCAAGAACAGTTAATGTTAGATATAAAGTGTTTGATATCAAAATTCATAAAATTTTACAGAGAATTTTTGTATGTAATAAAATATAAATTCCGGAAAATAATAGTATTTCCGGAAGTGCCGCCATATTGAAAATATTTTTAATTGATAGATCTCTTTGTGAAACAATGATGTGCACAAAATCTCCGATCTATATCTTGTAGTTCTCTAGAAAAATGCAAGCTCAGCCTGGGACACCCTGTATATCTACTAACTAGGATGCTTTTTTCCCAGTGTAGCGGCTTCTAAAAATGCTTACACTCACTCCGAACCAAAAATGCACCGAATATTTAAATAAAGCAAAAAAATTGACTGTTTTCCCCTGACCCATAAAATGCGTTCTGTCGTTTCTTCTTCAATTTGGCAGACACTGCTACATGGCTTCGTCCGTCAATGCCATTAGCTTTATATGCCTATTCAGCTTACAATACCCACTACAGCTGTGACTGTGTTTCTCTCTTTGCTTATCAGGTTTGTCGTAAATGTTGGCGAATATTCTACTACGAACTCGCATGTCTCTGCCCTGGTGAGTTTCTGCACCATTCTAGAGATTTGTTGGCCACCCATCGTTTTGTGGCCATTCTCCTGACTGTGGCCATTTCGTCTAGCTTTTCGTTTCGTTTTGACCGACTTCTGACCCTCGTGCCTTATTGCTTATACCCAGGCTAACGTAACATTGCTACAAGCTACAATGGGTTGAATATTTTTCAAAATGCCTTTATAGAGCGGTTCTGTTCCAAATTCGATCTGGCTGTATTTCAAAGTTACTAGAAATGGATAAAGATTGAACGAATCGTTCATTTGAACGAGTAATAAAAATAAATCGTGTGATTCGATTCGCCGTATAAAAAATAGGAATAGAAATAAATCGTGGAGAATTTGCACAAGTTGTAAAAACGAGTCATGAGAACCGAATAGGTTGACCGCTCAAGGTGCGTCCACATTGCTCGTGATCCTGCTCGCGCTTTTGCTTCTGATTGTGCTTGCGTTGCTTGCGCTTCCTGTTTGTCGTGTTTCTCAAGATCTTTCGGCTTGCAAGCAACGTCCACATTGTAATGTAGTGCTTGCGTTCGTGCTGTTCGGACATGGATGATACCAAAGTATTTGTAATAGCGGCTGCTAGTGCGATCATTATTGCAAAGCGAAGAAGAGAAAGAGAAAAAAGGCGGCGTTGGATGTCTAATAATTTCAAAAGTAGATCCCAGCACAGTGAAAGTAAACATCTACGCGATTTACAAACAGACAGAATGTTTTTTAATATTTTTTATCGCATGTCCGCTACTAATTTTGAAAGACTTATTAACTTAGTTGGCCCCCGTATGAAAGGAAAAATACAACTTTTAGGAAGCGTATTTCGGGTAAGGAAAGAGTTAAATAAAGGTTGGCCATAACATTTAGTTTCTTTGCAACTGGAGACTCACATACCAGTTTAGGTTATTTATACAAAATTTCCAAGCAAAGCATTTCAAAAATAATACCAGGCGTATGCCAAAATATAAATAAAGTTCTCAAAGATCAGATTAACATAAATATAGAGTTATACTTTATTAAAGGTATATAATATTATTAATCCAAGAACAAAACACAAATATTTGTAATTCTGAACAAAATAAAAGAAGAAAAATATACCGAATCCTATGAATGAGACCAAACTAAAAACTGAACAAACAACACAACTCAAACAGCTTGAGCGCATCGAACCGCCGTAAAGTATGCTCGCATGGCTCCGAAGCGTCTCTTTGATGTACCTCGACAGAGCCGAACAGTCGAAACAGCAGGGGCGGATCGTGAATTTGTGGGGCCCTGGGCTGAAACTACTTAGAGGCCTACCTAAGTGCTTAACTAATAGCCATGTCAAAAAACTGTTTCTATAATGATATATTATTATTATATATTCTTTATTGCACAAAAAAAACTTAAATGTTACTTAAATCTACGCAAGTATTAGTTGTACAAAAGGCGACCTTATTGCTGTGGTAGCAATCTCTTCCAGGTAACCTTTGGGTGAGAGAGAAACCGAAATAGTGATATTATAATAAGAATAAAAAAAAATAAAACAATTTTATTTATTTATTATGAATTAGTAAAAGAAATTGATAGGTTGCAGTCACAGAAATTCACAGTTATTTGGTCATCACATTGCAAGTCTTTTGTTAGATCACAATTTATGGAAAGAAGTGATAAATTATTTAGTCGATGGTTTGACATTGTTGTCCTATATTTATTTTTTACATCTTGGAGAAGGAGCGTTCTGCTTCACAGCTAGTAATTGGCAGTGTTTAAAAAATCTTTAAAATGGTATAGCAGTTAGGGAACACGTCACTAAGTTTATTTTCATACATGAGCATAAAATGTCATTAGGCTTAATGTCTCTGGCTTAGATTGGAGTAAGTACGATTTTAATTGAATGCACTCATTCACTAAATGCTCGTCTACGTCATCGGGATAGTAATCGATAATATGACTAACAATTTCTAAATCTATGTTTTTGATATTTTTGTCTTGCAAATCCATTAAAAATTTGAATTTTTTGCTATAAGTCTCATATAGACTTGGCTCCTTTTATTTAAATCCATAATCAGCTTATCCAACGCAACGTTTAACGTGTCTCTTTTAAATCTTTCTGCGCCGTATACTGAGAATTCACCTGTAGACTTATCTGAACATTTTGGAGTAATGCGTCTCTTGTTTATATCATTGTAGTCTATTCCCACACTAGTACTTAATTTTTTAGCTTTCTCTTCGTATTCCTTTAGCTTTTGATCTGATTGGTGTCGTATGTTGTTCTAAAAGTCTTTTAATGACACAATTAACTTGTTGCCTTTACAAATGTCTAAACCAGGGGGGCTGGTCCCTTGTAACCTCGGGGCCCTGGGCTACAGCCCAAACAGCCCTTAGGTAGATCCGGCCCTGCGAAACAGGCATTGAAGCCGCGTCCAAGCTATTCGAACAAAATGTTTTCTCGAACATAGGTATATAATTAAACAGCGCGCCGAACGGCTAGCTTAGAGCGCGCGCGTACTTTTTCCGACGGGTGTCGGTAAATCAAAAGGAGCGAACGGCGTGCATTTCGGCGGACATTGTACCGGACACTTGGAAGGGTCTCATTTAATTTCGGGCGTCCATCTGTGATTTTTATTTTTTACCGAGTATTCGACAATGGGGGACGCAGTTATTGACTGGGATCGTGACAAACATTTACAACTAATTTGTTTACACAAAGAAACGATTTTATAATTTTAATTTTATTGTGGGTTGAGTGTGAACAGCTATGTAGCTAGACTTCGTCCATATAATTTCATTTTTGTTAATAAAGACCTTTATGATTATTTTTATTAAAAACCGGAATTATTATGGGCTTCTAAAATTAAAAATTACTACTTAATAGGAAGTTAGACACCGGAAATGAAATTTTACCATTACATTTTTAGAAATAAATATACCGGGTGTTTCTGAAGAGTGGTTCACTTCTATAACTTTTTTAATTTTTTAGATAAAAAACGAGATTTGATATGATAGTATAGGACATAAATCAGGATTGATCGACGTTTTCATTTATTTTCGGTCACTACCTATTTCACTGGACATGACAACAACTTTTGATTTAAATGGTACCCTCGGTATTTTTTTACCGTATATGATAGAAAATGACATTCTAAATAGAATTATATATTTTGACATTTTCAATTTAAAAATGGCCATAAATAAACGTAACGACAATTTTACTCCAAATACCAAGTATGTGGTACCAAATTATTCGTAAAAATGCTTTTTCCAAATATGCTGAACCAGCCTCGTACCAGTTGAAAAATTTGAGTTATCATTAAAAATACGATTTGGGCATCTTTTAAGCGGTCATGAAAGGATACGAAAAAAAATTACACGATCAAATATATGTTTCCAAAGTTCTTTATTAGAAATTAATAGTTTTAACTCAGTCTTAGCACTCTAGACTGAAATTTAAAATGCTATTTTTATTTAATTGGAATTGTCTAAAATTGACGTATGGTATGTCATTCTATTCAGAATGTCATTTTCTATCAAATAAAGTAAAAAAGTACTTAGGATACAATATACAATCTAAAAATACAAAGTTGTAGTAATTTCCGGTGAAACAGGAAGCGACCGAAGGTAATTGAATACGCCAATCAATCCCGATTTATGTCATATATACAAACAAACCAAATTTCGTTGTATTATCTGAAAAAATAAAAAAGTAAAAAAGTGAACCCCTTTTGAGAAACACCTGGTAGAATCGGCTGAAAATGAATACAGTTCTTAAAAATGCACTATAACGAATAATCTACCAAAAGACCCCTGTAACCCTCCGCCTGCTAAATATTGATTCTTCAACGACAACATTTCTTAAACGGTTTACCGGTTAATTTATTTCATAAAATGCTTGCACTAGATATCCGGGCACTCGAAAAAACAGCGACTACCTAAACGCATCCTAGATCTATAGAGCAAACTGGTTGTCGCATTCTTCACCGCACCTCAGTCCTCGGGACCGACGCGATGGGCTGTGCCGTCGTTTACGACCTGCTGCTACGAGTATATAGTGTGAATTATATATGTTCGCGAACGTTTTGTTCGAGTAGCTTGGACGCGGCTTGCGATCGCAAGCACGTGAGAACCGCGAGCGTCGCGAGCGCCGCGCACATCTCGCTCCGACTGTTTGCCATGTTTTTCGTGTTTCACCGGTTTTCGTTCGGCCTGCTCGAGAGCAATGTGGACGCAGCTTCAGAATCCGATTCGATTAAATTAATCGTATCGAATCTATAAAATGTGAACGGAAATTTAATGGAAAGTTTTAGTGGTTATTAAATTTTAACGGAAAATGTAAGAAAAGAAAACAATCAAATGATGATTTGGGCAATCAAATCGTTGTCACCCGGTTTAAGTATTAAATTATTTAATCCCTTTCCAGAATTCGGTAGAAAAACTTCTTAAAATTTTAAACACAAAACCTGAAAGTAGAACAGATACTAATATAGAGACAGAATTGAAACTTTTACAAGAAGCAATCAACAAACTAAGACCCAAAGAAGATGCAGATTTAGATGGTTTTATTAACATTAATGATAAAGGCGGCAAAGATGATGCATCTAATTTTCAGGTAGAAATAATATTTTAATTCAAAAATCGTGATCCTAAAACTACACTAAATTTTTTTAGAATTTACTATCTGAAATTATAAGCAACGGAATCAAAGAGGAAAACAATAAAAAGCTTCCTACCCCAGGTAAATATCTTGTTAATAATACATTTAAAGTGTGATCAAAAAGTTTTATAGTCTACAGGCTTCAGAGGATAACGTAATAACTTCTACAGTACATTACATTAGAATTTATATAACATCAATATCCAAAGTCAAATTGATCAGAAATCTTTCGTTCGCACAGTAAATAATTGAGTTCATTTTATTTGAAGAATATTAAGTAACATGTTTCTTAAAATACCATTTTTTAACTTATCAGTGGGAATGCTTGATAATCAATATCATGTAATGAAGAAATCGAATAAGAATTATATTATATAGCTTATAACTCATTCCTTAAAAACTCCATATTTGATATTAATAAATGCTTAAATAACACAGGCCAACAATCATTTTGTAATTTGGTATTTTTCATATTTTTGGTGTTTTGGGAACTAAACTAATGAAAATCATTGTATTTTTGTTTCCATCGCGCACAACTTTTTAATTAATTTTTGAAATGTAATATTTATTGTTTGGTTTGGTAACATTTTAAAAATTACAATTGTTACGCCACTGGCTTAAATAGCGTACACATTATTAGAACGCTAGAAGGGAATCCAGCCAATTTAGAAGAGGTTACCAGTTTTTCTGGACCTGGAGTTTACCTGGACCTGGAAGATAACCTTAGCGATGTTGAACAGAACAGAACATCGGAAAAGAGCAGTTTGGATTTCGTAGCGTTTGGACACGTGAAGCCATATTTTGAATGACGCTATTGTTGCAAAAGTGCTGCCAATTTAGCCAGAACATCTATGTGTGCTTCATCGACTTTGAAAAAGCATTTTATCGAGTCAAACATACAGAGCTCTTTCGGCATCTGAAATCGTATAACTACACAACTATGCAATGCGCCTTTTAGTAAACTTATACTACAATCAAACTGCTGCTGTTAAGGTCGACGAAGAAACTACAAATGACATCCCAATAAAACGAGGAGTAAGACAGGGGTGTATTTTGTGACCGTTACTATTCAACTTGTAGTACGAGAGCTAGCAACGTCGGGAAAACAAGTATTTTAAGAAAGCTGGCTCTTTAAAATATCGTTTACTGTGCTCTCTGGAACAGCATGCGGCCCGTCTGGCTGCCGGTAAACGTTGCGTTCCCTACTGCGCATTGAAAGAAGGTCCTATATTTTTATTAGTGCTTTAAATTATAGTATTGAATATAAACCGACCGCGTCTCCGTAGCTCAGCGCGTAGAGGTTCCGCCTTTCAAACGAGGAGTTATAGTTTGAGACCGGGTCAGGGCAAAATTTTTTTTATTTTATTTTCGTTTATATTCTGATAGTAAAGTATTAAATAATTCTGGTGATTTAAAAATAAAACAAATATTTAATACTTTACTATGGACATGGACGCTAAAAGTAGAGAATATAAATAAACTAGAAGCCTTTGAAATGTGGTGCTACCGGAGAATCCTTAAGATTTCTTGGACCGAACATACAAGCAACGAAAAAGACAGCTAAATAAAGATCGGGAACTCTTAACCACCAAGGCCAGAAAGGTTAGCTACTTCGGACACATAATACGTAGCACCAAATATGATATTCCTCGTTTAATCGTCCAAGGAAACGTCGAAGGTAGAAGATGGGCAGGTCGAAAGAAACTGTCATGGCTGAGAAATATATGGAATTGGACCGGTCTGGGGGTGGAGAGGCTGTTTCATGCAGCAGAAGATAGAGAACTCTTCAACGAAATAGTCATGGAGATCGCCAACGCCTGAAGACAGGCATGGCACCGCAAGAAGAAGATTGATAAAAAATCATCTTACGTGATAAAGGAAAATGGTAATCAGATTTCAATTTAGGAGACCTAAACTAAACAGGTTCGAAATAAACTTTGAAAAGTTTAAAAATTGTTGGCCTGTATAATAGGCGACTAGTTTTGGTTCTAGATAAAAATCCAAGCAGTCCCTATCTTCAGGTCGTTAAGTCTGAATGCCATAGGAAAGTAAACACAGTTAAATTCCGTTAATAATTAATTTCTATCAAAATAGAAATAGAAAAAATACAATCTTATAAGAGCTAATTAAAGAATAATAACCAATTACTAGCAAAAATTGTTCAATTTAATCCTAACCAAACATACTTTTAGGCCCCGAACCAAGTTTGTCTGCTAATGTGATAGCAAATTTGACACCACAGCAACTACTGCAACTAAAGGAAAGTATTAATGGCAAAGAAAATTGGAACAATTTTATGAAGGCAATGGGTAAGTTTTTAATATTTTTTTAATGACCCCATGTACAGGATTCTCCCACAACCTATTCATTAAAAGCTTTTTAAGATCTAATTTCAATACAGATCTGAGTGTTTTTCTATATAATGCGTATTTTCAAGGTAGGTATGTAGGTGGTGACAATTTGGATGCTCAACATTGGCATATCAGAAACTACGAGAGATACTAATTCGGTTAAATGGGATAAAAGTTGCGTAATTAGATGTTTGACAAACACTTATGAAGAAAACCCCGGTATCTTGATTAGTTTCGGATGTATGTCAAAAAAATGAAAATAATGCGTTTATATTAAATGACAATATCTTGAGAACTATTGTATCTATTGGAACGTAAGTTGGTAGTTTTATATTTTTAACCTCGGCCAATTAAATGCCGTTTTCAGAAACTTTCTAATCCTTCTAGATTTCGCACAACAGCAGTCAAGTTTTTGTTTTCTTATGGCCACCATTTTGAATTTTCATACTATTAGATAGAGCAAAAAATAATCTATACGGTGGTATCTAATATTTATTTATTATGATGTAAATTCACTAAAAAAATAAGATATTTTAAAAATTCGCTCAAAACATCAAGTCTGCCTTGGAAATCCAATTGACATTTTATATGACAGCAAGTTAATTTTTGTGTGCTCTACTAAGTGTCAAATCTGGACACAAAAATTTATAGTAAATAGTGTATTAACAGTCAACAATATGTTCACAAGTGAGGAAACACGAGATACCTATGTATGATGTTTACTTAAAAATAATAGAAATTCCGATATGGCATGCGCAAGTAATAGAATATTGTATTCTGAAAGGACGCAGCCTCAACGTACTATTTTCGCAAGGATTTCAAGAAATTTAGCAGTTGCTGGTAGCTTTAAGAAACAAAAGGACAATATTTTAAAAGGCTTAATGATTTTAATGTGCCATTCAGATTTAAATAAATCCGGATACTTCTAGTATACCCCAGTGCAGTTATGACTTTCACCATGTTGAAATTGCACAACTTTTTAGAAAGCTGCGACCATTGAAAATAGTTAGCCTTAGTAACCCTTATTAACATACTAAAAGTCCCCATTTGTCCGATGTGTGCGTCATCAAAAAAAATCGGCCGCCATCTTGAATTTTGGTACTTTTTGGGAAAAATGTAAATAACTCGAAAACGGTTTGTTATAGCGAAAAACTTCAAGAGGTAAAAATTAAAGAGAATAAAAAACTCTATTAGAATCAATAAAAAATAGTTTATTATCCTAACGCAATGACGTACAAAAAAATTTTGAAAATCGAGCAATTTTTAAAAGGAATCACCAAAATGCAAATTACTAATTTTTTAAGCTTATTAACAACTTACATGGATATTTAGCATCAATTCAACTGAAATACAATCCTTGTGACATTTTCAAGAAATATTTTTTATAGGTGGGTTAATAATATTTCAAAATTAACAAAAATTGTAAAAGCTATCCTTTACTAAATACATGTGTACTAATAATGTGCGAAAGCAGTCTCCACCTTGTCCCGGTCGGGGCGATTTGCACTTAAGCCAAGGTCTTATTGTTACCATTTTGTAAAAAACTTCTTTTTAAAAATACAGTGACAGTTTGAAAAATTAGGCTACAGGTTGGAAGAAAAAAATAAAATGTAATGTAAATTGGCGACTTTCAAAACGTTGCAAAAAGATCCTCATTTGCGACAAATTACATCCATTTTTTTAGATCCTGCAGCACAAAAATCTGAGTTAGTCGAAGCTGGAAATACATTCTTATTTTCATTATATGGTCGACATAGGCTAGCAAAAGATTTAGATCAGTTGAGGTATTTTAAATATAAAGCCCTTACATCTCGTCAGGTACTTATAGTAAAAATTTTGATTTAGCTACCTTACCTCCAACAACTAACGCAGCTGAAAATCATTATTATAGGACCTATTTATAAATGCAGTATTAGCTAAATAACGGAGAAGAGGCAACAGAATGCGGATGGAGCAAAAAAAAACGGATACCTTAGTTCCAACAACAATGTCAAACGCAGTGGCACCAGAATTTGTATTGAAAATGATTTACTATGTACTAAATTATGTACCATTGCGATAAAAAAAAGTAGTACAAGAATTAGTAGTCCCAGATGGAACTCCTGGTCTATAATGATATTTGAATTATATTGATTTTTTTTGGGTTTAGCCAACAACACTGTTTTTTTGTTTATCCCTAATGCATCTGCAATGTCCCTTATGGGAACCCCATCCCTTAATCGCGTAAATATAATCGATTTTTGCTCTGAAGTTAGAGGCATTTTTTAAAAATTACGTGACACTGACACAAGAATATAGACCAGCAGTTAAATCATATTTTGTTGTACTATTTTTTTTAATCGCAATGGTACATGTTTAAAATCCAATATGCCATGTTCATGCTTGTGTGGTAACTGTAATGGTATTTTATTGCGAGAACAAACAAATATCGGTCGATGAAGAACAAATCGAATAAAATTGTAAATTTCATTTTTTTTCTAGAGATGACTGTTTGAAAAGTTAGGTTACAAGTTGGTAACACATTTTTATTAAAATGGTCATAATTTGAATTATTGTTATTCGATTTGTAGGGGTATGTTTATAATGTATTTATCATAATGAATAAGTGTTAAGATCTTAGGTTAAGATCGTAGATGATATTTATGTCAAAAAGATATTCGCAAGTAATTTATTACATTTTATTTTTTTCTTCCAACCTGTAGCCTAATTTTTCAAACTGTCATTGTATTTTTAAAAACAAGTTGTTTACAAAATGGTAACAAAAAGACCTTGGTTTAAGTGCAAATAGGCCCGACCGGAACAAGGTGGAGGCTGCTTTCGCACATTATTAGTAAATACGTATTTAGTAAAGGATAGCTTTGACAATTTTTGTTAATTTTGAAATACTATTAAACCACCAATAAATATTTCTTGAAAATATCACAAGGACTGTATTTTAGTTGAATTGATGCTAAATATCCATGTTATTTGGTAATAAGCTAAGAAAAAATATTAATTTGCATTTCGGTGATTCCTTTTAAAAATTGCTTGATTTTCAAAAAAATTTGTACGTCACTGCGTTAGGATAATAAACTATTCTTTATTGATTCTGATAGAGTTTTTTATTCTCTTTAATTTTTACCTCTCGAAGTTTTTCGCTATAACGCACCGTTTTCGAGTTATTTACAGTTTTTCCCAAAAAGTACCAAAATTCAAGATGGCGGCCGATTTTTTTTGATGACGCACACATCGGACAAATGGGGACTTTTAGTATGTTAATAAGGGTTACTAAGGCTAACTATTTTCAATGGTCGCAGCTTTCTAAAAATTTTTGCAAATTCAAAATTATTTGCACTGGCCTAGTAGTAAAGTAAAATAACTCGCGAGTGTTGTATAAGTGATTCTTATGTAGGGAAATTATCAAAAAACATAAATATTACAACTTTAAATTTAAATGTATATCAAATTTACATTTTTTGTACATGCTGGTGATCACGAGGGAAGGTTAGAATTTTGCAAATGGTTCCGGAAAAGTGTTCAAGAGCCCTTTTTCTAGAAAAATATTATAGACGGATGAATATTTATTTACAAATTCTGGTACATTTAACAGAAAAAAATTCACATTATTATGCAGAAGAAAATCCGCATTAAATTAAGCAGAGAAACCAGACTACAGTAATATATTCTTTGAGCGTCTGGGCTGGCATTCTTGACAATAAAATTTTAGGTTCTGTATTGATCTGTATTGACCTCTACTATATCATTTTTGTGCATCCAGATTTGACACTTAATAGAATAAACAAAAAATAACTTGCTAACATATAAAGTGTCAATTGGATTTCCAAGGCAGACTTGATCTTGATCGGCGAATTTTGAAAAAATCTATTTTTTTAGTGAATTTACATAATAATGAATAAAAATTAGATACCACCGTATAGACTTTTTTTCGCCCTATCTAACAGTATAAAAATTCAAAATGGCGGCCATAAGAAAACAAAAACTTGACTGTTGTTGTGCGAAATCTAGAAGGCTTAAAATTTTTCTGGAAATGGCATCTAATTGGCCGATGTCAAAAATATAAAGCTACCAACTTACGTTCCAATAGATACAATAGTTCTGAAGATATTGTCATTTAATATAAACGTATTATTTTCATATTTTTGACAAAAATCCGAAACTAATCATGATACCGGGGTTTTCTTCATAGGTGTTTGTCAAACTTCTAATTACGCAACTTTTGTCCCATTTAACCGAATTCGTATCTCTCGTAGTTTCTGAGATGCCAATGTTGAGCATCGAAATTGTCACCACCCTGTATTTACTTTCATTTAAAAACTAAATTAAATTAAATTAAAAAAATGTATTTCCAATTTACCCGAAAGTTACGACATATTGCCTATTTTGTTTTATTTTCGGCGGAGTCTACATAAATTTTAAATACACATTTTGTGTAAAATGATCTATATTAAGCCGTTTTTAAGTAAAATACTTTCAATTTTATAATAAAAATATCAATGGCAAAAGCAGAAGTAAATGATCCCTTTTTTGGTTTTGATGCATTTTTATACAAATCTACGAGCATAATGCTTTTCGAAAAAAATCCGAAGATGATATAAGCGAAATTTGACTTTAAAGTTATTTTTTGCTTTAAATTACTGAAAGACATAAAAAATTGACTTGTAGCTCTCGGGAATCTGTCGAATTTGAGATTTAAAGAAGCTAGAAAAAGGGGAAGAAGGGTTTTGTAGAAGATGGGGAAGAATGGATAGAAGGGATTAAAACAAGTGTGTAGTCCAGAAAAAGACAATATACAAGGTGGTCCGAACTGTATTCCGGAAACTTCAGCAGCATATTCTACACATAAAAATAATTAAAAAAGTTCGTATAAATGTATGTCTTAAATTATTATTTTTATTTTGTAGATTTTCTTGCAGTGGCGAAATACCCATATAGGATTTTTTTGGGGAGATAAATCCGCCACGTATGTATAGATATTTTTCATAAATTTTTCTTCAAAAAAATTATGATAAAACAGTTTCTATTGAACTTTTAGCACAAAAACATTTCAAAGTTATGATTTCAGTCTAATAACTATTTAGACAACATGCTTAATTTATGTCAATGACAGGTATTGATAATTTAGATTAAAAATATCTCCAGAACCATTACTCGTAGATTATTTGTTATATATAGAAAAAATCAAAATAAAAATGAAACTTCTACACCCTGCATCTCCGAAACTAAGCATTTTAGGACATACATTTATAGGAAGTTTTTTACTTATTTTTATCTGCAGAATATGCTGCTGAAGCTTCCGGAATACAGTTCGGACCACCCTGTATACAGAATGATTCCTGTAAGTTGGTCATGCTTTCAGGGAACGATGGGGGACGTCGAAATATTAATTTTGATATAGCACACTATGGGTCGGAAATGCCTCTTACGCAAGATACAGGGTGTTAAAGTTTTTGAAAAATTAAAGATATTCTTTAATAGTTTTTTAAGAGTTGAAGGTATCGCTATAAAATTTTATTATAGGAGTCTACCTAACAGAGACACTTTAAATGTAAAAGTAAGAGGTTTTGGTTTCAACCAGTAGCGTAGATGTGATACGCATACGAGTAATTTTTTCAAAATAAATAGTACGCCACTGATAAAAATAAAAATTTCGGAGTTTTGTTATTTACTTGGTTTATTTCCAAGAAAAAATGTCTTGCAATTTTCTCCTATCTAACACCATTTTGTCACAATTTAAAAATAAATAATTTTTTTAATGAGAACCTTAAATATGGGACTTATTATAACTTAAAACTAAGAATTTTATTATTAACAATAAAAAAAATTCTAGTTTAAATTTATCAATTTTTTAAAAATGTATTTAAGGAGCTAAACCTCGGCCTACTTAAATTCACATGCATGTAAGTGATGAAGATAGCTGACGATGCACATGTGTTTTCTGCCCTCTAGTTATGATAATTCGCTGTATTTAAGATTCTCATTAAAAAATGTATTTATTTTTAAATTGTGACAAAATGGTGTTAGAGAGAAGAAAGTTGCAAGAGACATTTTTGCTTGGAAATAAACCGAGTAAATACAAAACTCTAAAGTTTTATTTGACCCATATCCTAAAAAACAACTTTTAACTATTTTGGTGTCACTAGAACAATGATTAGATCATATTTTTTTTAATAAACGAATTGTGTGAAAAATTCTGTATATTTACTTAATTTAAAAATTTCAGGTACCAAACAATTAATGCCGCAAAGCATCGACCCGATGTACGATTACAATAATTTGAAATATCAGAATTATCCTCCAAGTGCAATTTCTCCTCAATTTGGTCCTGCTATAATTCCATATTCCGTTAAACCAAACTTCTATGGCTATCAAACTAGTTTAGATCCCTCCTCGAATTATGGATTAGTTCAAAATTATTACAATGGCCGACTTAATCCTAACTTATTCAACGCCATTAGTGGAAATAATTACAAATATCAATGGCCGTTGTACGAAGGAAATAAGAATGTTGACGGAAATATGGCTGGATTATATAAAGATCCAAGCTTCAAAAGTTACGTACCTTACAGTAATTACGAGTCGTTTCCAAACAATCCGAAACCTTTCTATTATTCTAATCCATTAAGCAGTTTTTCTGGTTATCCAAGTAACATAGCTGAAGATGCCGATAAGCAGTGGAACAGTGCATATCAAAATAATAATAGATATATTTATAATAGATATAATACTTCTACAATGAATCAGATACCCCCAGCTGGTACGAACACAAACACAAATTATGGAAATCAGTTTTTTCCGATTTCAGAACAAGCTTACAATTATGGACAACCTTTTGAAGGTATAATATAGACTAGAGAGGAGCAAAATTGCGATTCTCCAATCGCAATTGAAACTGCGATTGCGATTTTTAAATCGCTGCGACTGTAACCTGCGATTTTTCTTCTTTTTCAGCCAGGTTCCGTCCAGTGTTGGATATAGGAATTTTCCAGGTTTTTCCATGCTTCGCGATTGCTATTGGCAACCTGCGATTGCGATTTGAATATTGTACAGGGTGTCCCACTAAGAATAGCTCTCGGCTGTATCTCGGAAAGTATTAGCCGTAGGGCCTACGAAAAAAATATTTGTAACTAAAGGGGCTATGGGGAATTGCTGGAAATTATTTTCAAGTTTGTAAAACGGCCGCTAGAGGGCGCAACTGCTATGGAAAATAAGAAAATATGATTTTTACAGAATTTTGCCTAGATAATGGGTACTATAAATAATAGCTTCATAATCTTCAATAAATTTTGGATTTTTATTGTTAGAACTATTTTCCCCTATCTACTAAAATAAAGTGGTGGGGGAAGGTTAGATCTGTCTTTATTTAAATGTTAATAACTCCGGACTCTGGATGATCAGAATCCAATAATCGACAGCTCGTTTAAAAGAGCATTTCTCGAATTCGGCCTTATTACACCATAATAATAATAATAATAATAAGGTTTTGAACGTAGACGCTAGGGGGCGCTTTCTTACAATTTAACAAACATAGCGCGTTTTTTTCAAAAAAATTAAATACGATGATAGTATACGTAATTTTAGCTGATAGTAAAGAGTAGTAAAAGCTTAAAAAGTCAGCGAAAACCGCATCTTGATATCTTCTTTCAAACTGAAGATATTAGCAAAATTACAATAAATACCAAAACATAAGCCCTTAATTACCTTATTTTTACAACACGGTGTCAGTAGCCCTCTTGATTATGCCCATTCTAATCAAAAAATAAGATAGAAAGAGTTAGTTTATTTTAAAACCGACGATATACCAGAATACCATAATACCAGATGTATTAATATCTAATAATTAAGATATTAATAACAGTGAACAAGAAACGACAATTCAGTGAAGTCATGGTAGGCTTTGAAAAAAGTTGCTTTTGACGTAATAGTTTAAACGTCAAATTGTTATTAGATCAACATTTTGATAGTCTCAGCAGCGTTTTTTATCTTTTAATTGATTTTTCAAAATGCCCAACAACTTCAACTACTTCAAATAATAAAGGCATTTTGGTATATTATTTTCATTAGGCGGTACTAGGTATACAGGGTGTTTCAAAAAACATGTGCTATCTCTCGTGGGAGATTGCTCACGTAAAAATAAGACTTATTTTTCATATCAACATAGATCCGATTCTGCTTTGTTTTGTAACTACAGGGTGTTAAAGTCCTATCATTTTTTCGATTTATTGTAATTTTCTTCCAAGTACTTTCAGCGTTTCCAATGAAATTTTGAGGGTAAAAGTTACTATAAATACGACATATTTTAAAGCTAAAAAATTGTTGCCATATTCACCAGGGATGTGTATATGGAGAATAACTGGAATATTTTTAAAAAAAAACATGTCTGCCACTGACTTTTTTTCTTTTGATATCAATATTGTGTTGGCCGTTTAATGTCAATTAAAAGTTATCTCTTGATATTTTGTCGAATTCGGCCTCCTTGATGAGATAAACGCAATTTTATTAATTACAATTAATAAAATTAAAATAAAAATTAAATTAATAAATTATATATTTTACCTAATTTATTATTAAATATTATTACTATTAGATATTATTACTATTTGGCCAACCTACAGTGAATATGTCGACACTTTTTTAGCATTAAAATATGTCACATTAATAGTAACTTTTACCCTCAAAATTTGATTCGGAACGCTAAAAGTACTTGGAAGAAAATTATAATAAATCGAAAAAATATTAAGATTTTAACACCCTGTAACTGCGAAACAAAGCAGAATCGGACATATGTTCATATGAAAAACAAATCTTATTTTTATGTGAGAAATCTCCTCACGAGAGATGGCACATGTTTTTGAAACACCCTGTATAATTGTTTTTGTATGTACCTATAGCTTAACAGTTAAAAAAGTTAATAAAAATCAGTTGTTTAGTTTTTAAGTTTTTTTAACATCTGCAACGTCAATCAATCCTAATTTATGTTATATACTCACATACCAAATCTCATTTTTATATAAAAAAAAAATAAAAAAGATATAGGGCCGAACCACTCTTAAGAAACACCCGGATCTTGGCCGTAGAAAAATAATACTTTCTCTATAAATAAATAAAATCAGAGAAAAAATTCAATCGCAATGTACCACAAAATTACAATCGCAACAAAATTGTAAATCGCAACTCCTAAAAATTCAATCTCGTAAATAGAAGGTAATCACGGTTTTAGTTTACAGAATCACAATCGCAGTAAACTTGCAAATCGCAACTATAGTAATATTGGTTGCCTAAATTCAAACTCCTAAATAGATAATAGAAGAAATCGCAGTCGCAGTTTCCTATGAGAGTCAATCGCAGGTTGCGATTGCGATATAAAATCGCTGCTCATCTCTAATATAGACATGTTTTTTATAAAAAATGTAAAAATAATAATTTTGTAGGATATGCAGATGACCCAAAAGGTTTTAGCAAACCAAACATGGTTCAATCACAGTTTAATGACCAAAATACTGACCAATACAAAACTGGAGTAATTACGGATTTAACAAGCCAAATAGAAAACCTTGAAAATGTCATTCAAAACCTCAATCAGCCCTACACACAAGAAGTAAAAGACAAAAATACCATTTGGAATTTGGAACAAAGGATTTATGATTTAAAAAGTAAATGGATATTTACCCAACATTTATTACAGTTGAGGGTTGGAACCTTTGGTGTTACACAGCAAAATAAAATTACACTAAATCACCACAATACAAAACACATTTACTTTTACACTGGACGCGCGTTTCGCTAACCATGTTAGCATCATGCTGATGATGCCAGTCCAGTGCAAAAGTAAAAGTGTTTTGGTGTATTGTGGTGATTTAGTGTAATTTTATTTTCCCAATATTTATTACTTAAAAAAACGGATCGAAAGATATAATTCAGACGTATACAGGGTGGTCCGAACTGTATATTTTTTAACTGGTTTGAACAGCAATCACTTTTCGTCCGTACCTGTATAAAACTACTGGATGAAAAAATATACATTCACGACGTTTTTTACGTAAAAAAGATCCCTTGGTAAAAATCGCTACGAGTAATGGTTCTCGAGGTCTTTGGAATCGAAATTATCAATACCTGTAGTCATTGACGTAAATTAAACATGTTGACTAAATAATTATTAAACTGAAATCATAAATTTGAAATGTTTTTGTCTAAAGTTCAACAGAAACTTTTTTATCTTCATTTTGCAAAGAAAAATTTATAATTCATTTAAAAAAATAAAAAGTTCCCAAATTAACTATTTCAGTCAAATAACTATCTACTCAACATGTTTATTTTTTGTCAATAATGACATATCTCGAAAATGGTTGCTCGTACCCATTTTTACCAAGAGATATTTTTTACGTAAAAAATCACGAAAATGCATTTTTTTTCACTCAGTAGATTTTTATCGAATAAATACCGTACGACCGAAAAAAAGCGTCGAAAACGGCTGTGGAATGACAATCGATGATAATAGTGCTGAGATCAATATAAACGTAATTTACTGAAAACTGACATAAAACTTGTCAAAATTAACACTATTATACAGGGCGCCCCAGAAATAAGTGCAAGTATTTTAAAGGGTGGTAGAACTGGCCAAAAGAAACATTTTTTCTCTTTATCGTTTTTCAAGTAAGTTCAGAATAACCGAGTTATTTTACTTTGAAAATTTAAACAAAAAATGCTTTTTTGCTTAAATTTTAAGAACCACTGGATCTTTTCTGGATTTTCTTTCATGTAAATTTAATCTACTCCCTATGTTGCCGTATTCTCAAGAAATTATGTTTTTTAACTTAAAACTAAAAAAATTTTCAAAATTTTTTCAAAAAATTCCAAATTTTCTTTCAAATTTTTTTTTTGCAAAAAAACCTCATAGACGTGTTTCTGAGACCGTAATATACTACCTGTTAAAATTTTGCACTTATTTCTGGGACACCCTGTATAAGGATTAAAAAAGGATAGAACTTTTCCAGACACACAAATATATTTCCAAAATAATATTTTTTTCTCGAATTTTGAACTACGCCATTTAAAAATCATTTTTACTCAGTATAAAAATAACTTACAACCTTCTTAAGGCCAGGCAGTAAGCTCCATTAAAAATAAAGAAGAGTATGTGGGCCAAGTAATGACGTCTAGGACTTTATTAGGAAACTTATTACTTGGAAAATTATCATCGATTGTCATTCCACAGCCTTCTTTGACGCCGTTTTTTTTGTACGATAGAATACTATATAAAAAAGGCAAAACTCTCATTCCACCTCTGTAATAAATAGCTTATTATACTTGTTAAAGAAAATGTACGAAATACACATATTAGTAGGCGGCAAACACTCGACAACAGGACTATCTTCATAGCAACAATCTAATGGCTTCTATATACAAATTGGCCAATGTATGTGCTAATACTACTGACCAGTGTTTATAGCCATCCGATTGTGAATGGCTCCTCTACACGTTGGTCAATGCTGTGCCAATCTAGTAGGGCAGTGCTTATGGTCAACGGGTAGAAGGGACTATTGGTCATGTTGGCGGCATTGGCTGAGTTAGCCCTAGAATTGGCGACCGATCCGTCCAAATACGTTTAAATAAAATATACGACGGCCTCCCCATAAGAGCAATGTATTTACGTCCCAGTATTGAAGGAGGACAGAAAATCGAGTCGAATGGTTTCAAGACATAGGTTCACCCTTGTTTAGTCAAACCTCCTACAACACAAGGATAGATTTATGTAGGAAATGCATTTAAATTCTATAGCTATCCTTCAATATCGGGACAGGAATTTAAGCGGTACCCTCCGTATACTTTATTTTAAACGTATTTGAATCCGTCTGTTGTCGGATTTTTCAAGACACATTGGGCGCATTCAGTAAACACACACCGGTATTAACCGGTAAAGACCTACCGATAACTTTTCATTGAACGATCAAGTTACAGGTATGGTCAATGACTAAAGAATATAAGGACATGTAACGCCCCTATACGGGCTGCAGCAGAATTTGTGACCTTTTTTTGTTTGTTTTGGTGGCAAACAATGAGTCATCATTTGGTCACCAGCGACAATTTTAACGATTTTTAATAGTTTGTGTGTAGTAAACTTTGTATAAACTTTATTACAATGGTGATTAGTTGTTCAGCTTTCAAGTGTAAAAGCAGCAGCGAGAAGAAAGAGCCAGGAGTTACGTTTCATAGGTAAATAAACAGTTCACTCCAACTTTTTAGCGTTTTCTTATTGAATTAGATAATTATTCTTCAATTTCAATAAACATCTATATGTACTTGATATGTGCTATACGTCGATACTAGTTTTGTACCTTTTGTTAACATTTTAATACGTTTTTTTCGTAATTAATTAGGATGATAATAGGCGTAGTCAAAACAATTATCAAAAAATATAAATATTGCTTCAAACAGCTAGGTTAAGAAAAATATGTGCCACGACACTGATTGGTGACATCGTCACAATTTGCTCTCGGGTGTTATTTATCCTTGGATTCTTTAGTCATTGGGTATGGTAGAGAATCAACCGGTGAGTTACCATGGGCATTCAATTTAATTTTCTGCATCGGTGGACTAACCGGTGTGTTTACTGAATACGCCCATTAAAAGGAGTTGGTCTTGGCGCTTGCATATGAGTCAACACGTTGGCTGCATTGGTCTGGTATATTTTGCTTTGGGTAGTATATGTACCGTATATAATAGAAAAAAAAACGGCGTCCAGTTGGCTTGGAAAAGACGATTGAGGACATTTCCCTTATAATCTTACATATAAAATGACAGCTTTCTTCATTTCATAGCCATCGCTGGCGCCGTTTATTTTTCGATCATATTGTACCAACGTCTAGTAAGTTGCAAAGTCACGGATAATCCTGACCAGGACCCCCAGCGGTTGCGGGGGGGCTCTGTTATAAAGAGCTCCGGCCGACCTGTTAAAAATTGAGGTAATATTAGGGCGAGGTTTTGATGGCGGAAAGTTGCGGGGTAATTCAAAATTTCTAGTTACGCCATTGACGTAATATATTGTTGCGGACCCGTGTGGACTCAGCATAACCTAACTAACTAATATGTCCCGCCCCCATATGACCTTAATATCGCATTAAAGAATAGACACCGTTATGATTCATTCGAACGTTCGAGAACAATCGAGTTCCACTGGAATGGAGTAGTACATACGAGAACATTCTAAACCTTCTCTATGCACCTAATGATCTAACGTCTAACGGACTATTCGGGAACTATTCACCTGTGGGTATATAAGCCGACGGCTGGGGCCTGGGGAGAACAGAAATAACGATACGACTACACTAAATTTAATATATGTACATAGTGAGTCTTAAATAAGTGCAAATAATTTTAGGGGTAGTTGCATTTCGAGCCCAGGAACACGTCTATAAGGAGTTTTGGCGATTTTTTTTTAAATTTGAAATATTTTTGGTTTTTAGTTAAAAACATAATTTCTTTAGTAGATTACATTTACAAGAAAAAAAAAACAGAAAAGATCAAGTGGTTCTGAAAATGTATGCAAAAAATATTTTTTTTAATTTTTTAAGTAAAATATTTCAGCTGTTTTGGGAGTTATTTAAAAGACGTTAAAGAGAAAATATGTTTCTTTTATCGGGATCTACTAGCCCTGAAAATATTTGCCCTTGCTTAAGATACTGTACGTTGCTGAATATTAATGCTCTTTTTAGGTGTTGTTAACAGTCTCAATCCTCCATATACCCAAGAATCGAGACAATATACACAAATGAATCAACCCAACAAAGTTCAGTATGTAGAAAATCCCATTTCAAACATACCACGCAATTTAGCGTATCCTGACAATAAATTTTCTGATCCATCAGTTCCTAAAATACACAATTTTAAACCGTATGACCATCAGTATAATTCTTATCCCGAAAATATTCCAAATCCACCCCCAGTCCAACAATACCCTCCAATCCAAGAACAAGTAAATGACAATTCTCCAAAATCTGTTATATCACCATTCAAACCGGAAAATCAACCTGCCTTATATCAAACCAATTATACCAGCTCGTATCAAGTCAATCCACAAGAAAACAATTTACCTCCCCAAGTCAGAGAAGTAAAAAACGACGGAAATATAAACCGAAGATTAAACAAAAATTCGAGGAAAAAAAGACAAGCTGATTATAGATCACCAGAAGTGATGGCATATCAATACAATCCACCGCAGCAAACGTCAAATTTTGTTATTGGTGAAGGAGGAAATCAAATGAAATATGATCGTAAGTACATTTTTGATCTCTAATTTATCATGTTTAAAGTGAGTATAAAATTATATTCAGATCAAAGTGTAAGATAGATGATAAGGTAATAAAGTCTTGATTACATATTTAAATTTAATTAACATAATATTTAATTAAATATTTTAATTTAATTAAACATTACAACACTTAACAAATAACAATATACTATACAGAGTGAGTCCTGTTTTCCAAAATAGTTTCATATCAAATTTTCACGCCAGTCTTTAAAAAAAGATGAAGACAATGATGTTTAAAAATACTTTAACAGAGTGATACCAAATATGCAATACGTTTTCATTAAAACTGTATTTTGAACTGAAATATTGCATATATTCTGGCTCAGTTTATTCTCCATAAAATTCCAATTCGTGTTTTTTTGGAAATATAATTTTAAGATGAATTTTTCTACACATTCAAAGCCCTCTTCGGATTATAAAACACCAAACAATTGATGGTAAAACTTATAAGGTTAAGTTAAGTTAATAACATGGCGATAGATTTGCTCTGCCCAATTTGCTCGAAAAAGATAGGAAAAACGGGATATAAAATACAGTGTTGTGGTAAATGTGCGAGATGGGTTCATCTTACATGCACTCCAATAAAAAAGAAGGACCTGGAAAGCAAAAGGAGGACAAAAATCCAATGGATTTGCGACACATGCAAAAAGTTTGAGGTTAGTGAACCCTCTACTTCTTTTAAGAACAAGGGGCTACTATATTGGACTCCTCTTCTTCTGAAGACGACAATGGCTCCGACGACGAGTACTTATCGGTCACAAGCCAAACAGGAAGAACACTTACTGAAGCCAAGTTTCGAAAAAAGAAGAGTAAACCGCTACCCGAACCTAAGAAAAAGGGACGCTTGACAGATTCAAAACAAAGCACTGACGACTTGTTAAAGGATATTTTGGAAAAGTTGCACAACATGGAAACTGCAATGACATTTAATAATCATACAGTAGAGGAAATAAAGGACACTATAAAGGATGGTGTTGTTGAAAATAATAAATTAAAAAAAGAATGCTCTTCTCTGAAACAAAAAATTCAGCAAATGGAACTGGACATAAGAAAAATAAAAGACGAGCATACGAACAATAATCGAAGTAAAAACCTGGTTATAATGGGTCTACAGAGTGAAGAAACACATGATAGGTCAAATGTTATCAAGCTTCTCAATATGCTGGAAGTCAACGTGGAGGATAGTGAATTCTCAATAAAAACAATACCCAGCGAAATGCCAATAAAACCACTTCTAGTGAGTTTCAATTCTGAGGACAAGTGCAAGTTGGTACTACAAAGAAGAAAAGGGAAAGGGAAGATAACCTCTGGGGAGCTACAGTTGCCTGGGGATAACCGAAACATCTTTGTAAATGAAGATATGCCTCAAGAAGTAAGACATTTATATGGGAATGCACGAAGCTTGAAGAAACATGGATTTAAATTTGTTTGGCAAAAATATGGATCAGTTTTCTGTAGGAAATCGGACACTTCAGAAATTGTAAAAATCAAGAGCAATGAACAGATAGACTTATTGAAGAGTCCATGAACCAGTTAATGGTGAATCTCACTATGTTGACTAATGTCTCTGCCAGGAAACATGATTCCGTAAGTGACTACATTAGGAGTTCTGAGCAAGAATCCCTGCCGGGGATATCTATATTGTACATGAATGCGAGATCATTAAAAAACAAAATCAATGAATTGGAAGCCCTCATGGGTCAGCTTGGGAGGGGGATTGACATAATTGTAGTGACAGAAACATGAATCTCAGAAAATGACCAAAAATTTTTTAACCTACCAGGTTATGAAGCAGCGTATGCAAATCGAGACAAAAGGGGTGGTGGATGTGCAATATTTATAAGGGAACCTCTGCAGTTTAATCTGGTAAAAAAGCTAAATAAAAACAACGTTTCATATATAGCAGTGGGGCTGGCGGAATTGAAGATATACATAGGAGCCTTGTACAATCCGAGCAGGAACTTAGCTGATGTGAATGAAACGTTACAGATCCTGGAGAGGGAGTTTACAACTTACAAAAACAAAAAATTGATCATGGTGGGTGATCTAAACATAGACTTATTACGTGATAATACTAATAGTAGAAATTACAATGACCTTTGTATGGGGAATGGCTTTTATCACTGCAACCGGACAATTCCTACTAGAAATCGAACCTCACTGATAGATCATATTCTAACAAATGCTATTGATATTCCAATGGACCTCAGAATTGTTGGTAACACCCTTAGTGATCATGATTTACAGTTACTGAAATTGATGTTTAAAGAAGAAGTAAAAAACAAGCGCCTATACTACACAAAGAAAATAATAAATATGGAAAAAATCAAGACTGACCTAATGGAACTAAATAAAACATTCTCAATTAATACAAATATAAACGAGAATTATCAACATATAGTTCAATGCTTTACACAAAACACTGAATACAAGGAGAAAAGAATAAAAGTTTCTAATGGGTCTGGGCCATGGTTTACACCAGAGATTTCTAGAGCAATGAAGTTGCTCTAGATCGTGATTGTTTTTTTTTAAGGGATTACTATTATAAAAAATCAAACAAACACCCAGAAAGTATTTTTCTGAAAGAGAAATACATATAAACAAATAGGAGAGTAAAAACAATGGTTAAACTGGCTCAGAAAAACTATTACACATTGCAGCTTGAAAAGTCTGAGGGTGATGCCCGAAGGCAATGGCAAACTATTAATGAGATAGTACACAATAAGAGAAACACAAACAGACCCACTATAACAACATTAAAAATCTCCAATAGGGAAATAACTGATGAAATAGAGATATGTGAAGAGCTGATATGTGAAGAGCTACTTTGTGAGAATTGGACCTGAACTATCCTCAAAACTCCAGCCGGTAGATATTGATACGGAACTTGAAAAAAAGAACCCTGAAAAGTTTGTATTGGAAACTGTCACTGAAGAGAAGATTAAACAATGTATACTAGATCTTGATACGGCGAAAGCCCATGGCTTAGACAATATCGAAATTAAAACTGTAAAAAACTGCATTGATGCGCTTTGCCCAGTTCTTGCAAAGCTTGTGAACCAATCTCTTTCTAGTGGTAAGTGCCGGATAACGTAAAAATAGGAAAAGTTGTGCCAGTGTTTAAATCGGGAGAACGTGAATTTCCGCAAAACTATAGACCTATAAGTATATTATCAGTTTTCTCAAAAATTATTGAAAGGATAGTTAACACCCAGCTTGTCGCTTTTTTGGATAGAATAAATTTTCTTTATGACCGCCAATACGGTTTTCGTTAGTCGAGCGATACTAGTGCTGCTGTTGTTGACTTAATAAGTAAAATTCAATTAAATATAGACAAAAAACAGATATGTGCTCTGGTGTCGCTTGACTTGTGCAAGGCGTTTGATCCGGTGGACCATGGTATTCTTTTACAAAAGTTGAAATGGTTAGGGCTTGATAATGTGTCGTTGAGCTGGTTCTCTAATTACCTATCAAACCGCCAACAGAGCGTAAATATTTCAAACAAAAATAGTTCCTTAAAGAATGTCATCTGTGGAGTTCCCCAAGATTCAATACTGGGACCCACATTATTTCTAATATTTATGAATTCTATATCCAACTTAAAACTAAGTGGGGAACCATTTCTTTATGCAGATGACACCCTGATCATGTATATTGGGGAATCAGTTGACGACTTAAAAGCTAGGATTATGGTTGATTTAAAAATTGTACAAAGATGGCTTACTTCACATAAGTTAACCTTGAATGACAAAAAGTCTAACTATATGTTTGTCTCCAGTAGAAAAATCAATAATAATACATCATTGAATTTTGAAAATATAACATTGCCGTATAGTGGTGTGATCAGGTACCTGGGCCTTCTGATAGACGAGACTCTGTCGTGGAATGAGCACATAAATTACATAAGAAAAAAAATAGTCTCTCCAATAGGGATATTCAGAAGGCTAAGCTCAGTCCTTCCAATACAACTTCTTAGACCACTTACTTTTCATTGGTACATAGTCATCTCCAATATTTAAATATGATATGGTCAACGGCAAATGAAACTTTACTAAAACCAATAAAAACATTGCAGAACAGAGCCATAAAAAATATATACAAACTACCAGTTAGGTATCACACAATGGATCTGTACTCAAATCACAATATAATGTCGGTTGATAGTATCTACAAGTTTCAGGTGTGTCAATGTATACATGGAATTATTTTAAATGCCAAACACTCTGTCCTCAAATTTGATAGGAGGGCCCAGGTGCATGATCACAACACTAGGAGGCATAATGATGTAAATCTGCCTAAAATGCTCACCTGCAAGGGGCAAACCTCCATCTCATATAATGGAGCTAAGTTGTACAACGAACTCCCAGATTCTTTAACGTTGAATTTAAATATGCTAACATTCAAAGTACAACTCAAAAAATATATTTTTCAAGGACAAGGGGTAGGAAAATAAAAGTAGACTTGCTCTGACAGGATTCGTAGACTGATTGTTTTTTTTTTATTTGTATATAGAATTTATGTTCTAAACTTGTACACTTGTAAACTTGTAAATTGCGTACTTGTAAGCTTTATTGTGTATGTATTCTAAGGTTAAGTAAAATAATACAAGTATCTTTTATCATGTTGTGTAACTTTATCTTAAAAAAAAAATTATCTATAATTATATTTGATTGATCTGTGATATAGATGTAATGAAAGGATGAGCCTGTATGAATATTTTTTCTGTATTCCTAGGTTTTGTTCAATAAAGTACTGTTTTTTTTTATAAGCAACAGAAAATTTTACAATAAGATATACCCGGTGCGTATCAAAAGTGGCTCACCTCTATAACTTTATTTTTGCATATAACAAAACGAGATTTGGTATGTTAGTATAGGACATAAATTAGAACTGATTGATGTATTCAATAGTTTTTGGTCACTTCCTATTTCACCGGAAATAACTACAACTTTTGATTTTTAA